CCCCCCCACGACGTCATTTTTGAAGGCCACCAAGCTTCCCCCTTCCACCGAGCTGATTCCCGAGGGCTGCGGGAGCACAGAGCTCATCCCTGCCAACCTGCCTCTGCCCCTGCACCGGAGAGAGAGCTCAAGCCCTAGCCTTGGGAAACAGAGCGGGAGCCTGGGCCGGGCCAGGCCAGGATTTGGCCATGCGGAGAGCACTGGTCGCGCAGGTCACCGGCTGCTCCTTGCGCCAGGCCCTGGGGGCACCCAGGCCGTGGCTCTCTCTACGGGTGTGCAGGCACCCGAAGGCTACTAAGACTGTCGCTCCATGGAAACCTCACTGCAACATCTTGATGTTTATCAACACTGCCCTGGTGGTGGGAAAGCAAAGGAACACCAGCCCAGGGATTTCTTTGTGTAAAATAACAGGTCTGATGCAGTTTCCAGAGCACATTGGCATTAAAGAAACCTAGATGCTAACTCAAGCCTTCCACGTCAAGAGGCTGCTCTGAGCTCCCCTCCGCCTTGCTCACTGATGCCCCAGCCCACGGTATTTCATCAGTTCTGGGTGTAATTCAGACACAGCCAACCAGATCACTGCCCTGTGCATTTATATTTATTTTGCCGTTTTAATAATACATGCAAAAGCAACTTTAAAACAGCTTTCAACGTTTAAACAGTTCATCACAAATTTTATTTTGCAGCAAATTTTAATCTGGTTTGCAACCTTGTAACTAGTTACACATCAGGAAGCAACGGTTACATGTCTCTAGGGAAGGGTCCAATTGTCAGGAGAGGGGCGCAAAAACCCAACCCCCTTCACTCACTGCTGCTGCCAGTGGTAATATTTAGGGGAACAAAGACAGGGAGCAGGATCAGGCCTTATAAAGGCTTGATGAAATTTGCCTTCTCTTGTTTTGCAGCTGGGAACATGCAATTATGAATCCTAAAAGGAAACACACAAATTGTCTGTGTGCTTTCTGTGAAATAAGGTTTCCTGAATTAAGAGTTGGGGGAAATTTTGAACACAGTGGCTATTACCTTTCTTTCCACTTAATTTCTAGTGGAACTAATTAAGAATGATCATTACATTGAAGCAGCAATCGACCACGGAGCATTTTCCCAGTCCTTTCTTGGCATCCCAGAGATTAAGATTCCTAAAAATCTAACACAAAGGAGAACAAAGCAAACATGATGTAGAAGTTCATCATTTAGTCACAAAGCTGGGGGGCAGAAGAGAGGATGGCATATACTTCCTATACATGGACATCTCCAACATAAAGATTATACACACATTATTGACCTTTAAAACCTCCTATTAGCTTTATGGTAAAGTCAATAAAGAAATAAACTGCCATAATATGCTATCCAATTAATCACATATTTTGGTTTTGATTAAAGGGACGTGTTTGCCACATACAGTTTATCCTCAAATTTAGGCATTGTAAACCTGAAAGGAATAAGAAATTCCTCCATGGAATTCCTGTACTTTTTTTTTTCCCTGTGAAACAATTTTTTTTGGAACTAGTAAGTGAGGTTTTCCGAAGGTGCATATGGGAATTTGAAAGCTTAACTAGGAAACTGTAAACTGAACAATCTCTTTTAATTGATTAGGACTGACAAAATGTAAAAAGGAAAGAAGTATGCATTGAGGAAAGTAAACTAGATTTAAGTTGCTTCATGTTTAATAATTTTAAGATGTAGAAGTGATAACAGAGAAAAACCTGGATTTTTATATTAGGGGTTTTTCTAAGTATATGATATGTGATTGACAGTGTCCCTTTGCAATGGTGTTGGGCTGTAAACTACAATAGCTCATATTCACATCAACACACACATTGTAAACTTGAAACATTGGAGATTAAAAAAAAAAGGAAGCATGTGGTATAAAATCATAAAAAAGATTATGCTAATAAAAGCCAAACGGCAGCAGCAAGAGCAGCAGCAGCAGCAGCTAGAACTGCTGGATAAGGCGCCGGCGCTGTGAGGTCTTCCGCAGCAGCCTTCTGTAGTCATAGGGATTATCTTCAGTTTTACTCTCTTCCAGGGGGCTTTCTGCAACCCTTGACCTAGGGATTAAGTGCAGAAGTGCTTTAGAAATTAAAGTCAAAATATTTACCTTAGCAAACAGCACTAATCAACTGCTTAACCTCCACACACAGCAAAATAAAAAAGAAAAGAAAAAAATCCTCTTTCTTTCCTAGGCCTCTTCTCCCTCTGCTGCATAAAGCGGGCACCTCAGAACAAACACATTATACTAAGAATAGACGAACACTGAAGAACAACATGTTCTTCTAAGGAGGGAACATAATAAAAGGACATAATAACAACGTTGAGAACACGTAGGTGCTTTACAGTAGTTTTTGCCTGATGGTTATACCGGACCAGATTTTCAGCTGGCGTAAATTTGCTTGGTTTATTTTTAACCTGCTTGTTGAGCTCAGCATAAACGCCCATCTGATCTTATTTTTTTCAGGTGGCAAGCTGCATTTTGGAAGCCAACTCTTGATAAGCTGGAATGGTGACTTGACACCAGGTATTCCCATGGAGTAAGATCAGAAATAAAACTTGGCTACTTAGTGACAGTGTATTAGGCTGAAATAACTACAGAAATAAGAAGTGCTGTACCCTGGAGGTATGCACCACCACTGGTGAACTGCCACAAAACCAAATTCAGGGCTTAATTTCTCTAGCTCCAGGAGACTGTATACACACAAAAACTTCCTATTCAAAAGATAGTGATCTGCAGAAAATGTTTATTACTTAAATAAATTTAAGGCAGACTAAAATCTGCCCTCAGAGATAATGGTGTAAATTCAGAGTTATGCAGATTTTTTCACTTTGGCTATGCAGGATGTAATCAGAGCTGCACATGGTGTAAAGTAAGAAATTCCTTCTAGTGAGCTCAGTGGCAAAACTCATTCCCCTGAACGAGGCCTCGTATTACTTTGCAGCTTCCTAGTGAAAGAGTTGACGTAATCAGCATATCTAGAAATGTAACGTTTTCCAAGGGGTATAAACTGTAGGGTAGCTCCCTGACATTGTTGTTGCTTCTAATTGCGTACCATTCCAATTCCCCAACCCCTTTCCAAAATTAATTTAGATGCTACCTGAAAAATGCCAAAAGGTAAAGTAAAGTAACAGGCACAAAATGTTTTACAAACAGTTTCTCTATTATTTTGGATATGCTTTTCAATGCAGCTGTCTTCCTAGAATTAAAGTGTTTTCCTTAAGCCTTTTACTTAGACATTTTCCAAGTTTTTCACATATAAGAAAATACAAGAACATAAAAATATATAAATATATATAAATTATAAGAGAGTGTGAGTGTGTGTGTGCGTGTCCATGCGGCGTGCCACGCGTGTGCCTGTAATGCACTGGCAAGAGCCAGAATAGGATTCCCTTTGCCCAGCAGAGGTCAGCCTCCCTGAAGCGTATCTGGGGAGAAAGCAAGCCCAGCCAGCCTTCCCTCCAGGGTGTTTTTCCTGCCTCTCCACCTGGGTGGCATCAGCTGCCGGCTATCGGTACTTAGGCTGCTACAGGGCAGCAGGAAAAGGAGGAAGTCAGGCAGCTGTCTTGGCTGCAAAAAGCAGGCAGAAACTTCAACACCCACCCACCCACCCTATTTAATGCCTGAGTCAAAAATACAAGTTTTAGATTTTGCTTTCATTTATCTCCGTTTTAGATGAGAGATTTACAGCAGGAAGTCTGTCCCTCTCATCTGGAGCTTGAGAAGCCAAAGCCTGACAGGTGAGCTGCACCCCAATCATGCCATCTTTTGTCCCTGCTACATGAAGATGGGAAATTTTCAGCTATACCGTTTCCAAATCAATTTTGCAAGACCCATGATTAGGAAAAAGGATAGACTTACATCTAATTTGAAAGTGCATCTTTATTTTGCATCAATGTATGCACAAGGATAGAGATATATAAAAACACACACACTTTTCTAAAGTAGGCTATACAACATTTATTTTTTGCTGTTACTATTTTGTATGACTTACCGTTCAGTAGCTCTTAAAGTCCTGCGCTCAGCTGGCTGTCTCTTCTTTTTTGTGGTAGAACTGCTGTCTTTTGAGGTGGAATCAATAGATGAAATTTCTTGGTAATAGACATCTAAATCTAGCACTTTGCCCAGACTGTCAATAAATAAGTATACTAAGTTAACAGTTCCACTTTTCAACATTATATTCAACATTCAAAAATAAGTTAACCAAATACCATTATTAGTTGTGTTTGTGAGCTGAAGGTCTAAGGAAAATAATACATAAACACAATAAATCAGTCTCTGGAATGTGACTGCTATACAATGCAGATATTGAGATTTTTGAAATGCTAAATACTGGCTGATCCCACCAGCAAATATTGTGCAGCAGTATGTTGTAAAACCTAGTGTGATGCCTGGGTATGCAAGGATTATATCCGGTTTGTAACATGGGTGTCACTGCACCTATATATATGTATATATATTTGTATATATCAAGGTAGTATTGGGACTTCAAGGTCAGACACTGTCAGGCCACTTTCAGCAATGTCATTTTCAGTGATATATTTCCAACTGTGCTAGCAATTTCATTATAAAAATTGTTCTTCAGAGGATTTATGTTTTAATGACAAAAACATCTTTAGATTGTGATTTAATTGTCACGTTTTTCAGCTCATTCAACAAATTAAAATTCAAGCATTTAGGCATATTGGCATACTTATGACACTCTCTAGAGGACCTTAGAAACCAAATTCATTATGGAGATCCACAAGACATGAGAAAATAATAATCACCTATACATTTAACTCTTTCAGGTCTTCATCGGTAAAAAGGCAGGAAACATGCAGAACTGGATTTTTCAGATAATTTGCAAATGTGATACAGCGATTTTCATCTCAATTACACTGATTTATATATCTTAACAGTGAAATAACAGTGACTGTACCTTGTTAACCATCTGAGAGGTTCTGTAGCCTCTGGCACGCAGAATTAGCTGCCGGCCTCCAAATAAGCAGGGCATATTACTCAGAACTTTTCTTGCAGATTCAGCAGAAGGATTAAGGGCAGGACTTTTGAGAGCAACCCCTCTATGCCCAAAGTGAGCATAAGATGGGGAAGAGTTTTGCTCTGCTGTTCATACTGTATCTAACATCCGTAAAGCTTTCTATTTCTGAAATTGTCTGCTCATACCCTTTAGCAAGACTAACAGAAACTCAGCTTAAAGAAATAAAAGAATATCCTAAATACATGGAAACTGCTTACAAGAAAGCTGAGTTGGAATGGCCTTGTGCTGGAATAAGCAGGCACATGGCACAACTTACATGATGCACCACAGCTAGCGTTTCAGTGAAGAAGCTGTACAGAGGGGCATGAAATATGTCCATGAAATGTGCCCAGGACAGCAAAGCTTGGCCTCAAGATATTGCTAATTATAAATAACAGTAGCAAGAGTATTTACTGGGAAGCTGAGCATACAGGAGAATGTGCTATACTCACGCATCCTATTTTGTCTCACAAAGCGCGATTAATTTTATCTACCTTTCGATGTTCATAAGGCAGACGTATACAGCTGAACTGGTTCGTTTGGATTTGCTATTATACTCAAAGGAGAGGCATTTTTATGATACAATTCATTTGACCTATTTTAGATATCCCTCTTAGGAAGAGACGAATAATTTTCCTAAAGATACCTATTTTTCGTCCTCTGACTACAAGACGAGGGGCTACAGCAACTAGTTCATATATTGGTGTCAATGATGCAGATGTGTATGTTTTGTCAGATGAGAGCTATCCAGTGTCATATGTACAAACACCAAATAATCCCAACACCCCGTTTCAAAAGGCTTGAAAGAAAAAATTCCTAAAAGCAACCTGAAAGAAAAGTTCAGAATTCATCTCTCACGTTGATACAAACCAGAAATAACTCCACTGGCTTCAGCAGCTATATTATAGTAGTATAGAGTCAGCGCATGAAAGAAGATGGCTGTCATAGAATTACTTATCTAGATTTAAGATGAATAAAACCAAACTGAGGCCAAATAGGAAAAAAAACCAGTAGATTTGCATTTTTTTTCTTGCCAAATGGGAGATACCAATAGATGTGAATTTTTTTCAAGATCCAAATGGCATCAGAAGAGAGCTGTAACCTAGAACTGACAGTTGTGGGGCACAGGAACATTAACTGAATCCTTTAAGCAATGGAGCAATCAAGTGCAATTGTAGCTGTAGGTGTGTTGGAGGTATGGGAAAAAAGGAGATTAGGGTATTATTCAGTCTTTCACAGGTAGTTAACAAAACAAGGCCCTGAAGGAAGGAGCAAGACAACACTATAAAGGCAACCAGATAAGGAAGTACCCAAATAAACCTGAAGAGAACAAAAACGGTTGATAAACAGGAGAGAGCTACTTGAACGACGGCTGAACTATCCTAATTAGCATAATAAAAACCCACCTACAAGCAGGGAAGCTCCCTGCTGGTCAGAGCCCCTTCCCCATAGAGCATGCGTAGTAGAAAAAGAGGATACTGTGACTTTAAATGAAGATGAGACCTAGCAGAACCAATGGGAACAAGGATGACTTAATGCAGTTGTAAACTATACTGATAACTGTTGCTTAAACTGTGTAGAGTGTCAGCTGTGTAGTAACCAGGTGCGCTAGCTTTGTGGGATTACCACCTAGCACCCATCTCTGCGCAGAAATGAATTACACAAATATCTCGACTCTTGTGTGTTTTTCGGCTCACTGCACAGCGGGTGACAGGACCCTTCTTTGGGACAACAGGTGAAAGAAGCTCCTTGCTGTGTGCACGTAATCTGGGTGTATAAGGTCACGTAACTTTATCTAAGATATATATTTTAGATATGGGGTTTTTATCTTGCAGCTTCAGCCAAGGTTAGGGCTAAGGGCCCATCCACACAGTGGTCAAGCATCTTGCATCTATGAAGAGACTACCACAGCATTACACAAGTCACTGGGGAACAGCCAAAAAGGTTAAGTAGGGAACCACAAACAAGTAAAGCTACTGCTTATAATGTATGTCAGAAGCTGCAAACTATGAATTTACCAGGTGTACAGCACATGTACGGATCTAAGATATGGAAAGGTAGGGTACAGGTACTGCTTCCTTTATTTCTACAGAGATCCATCAAAATAGGTTAGTTACACTGTGGAAAAAAGGCTTCCAGTTGAAATTTCAATGGTTACTTTCGATTTTTTCAGTTATTAATATATTACTGATTGCACCTTTATGATCTATTTCTAAACAGTCATATATTTTTAGGAGAGAATTTTAACAGTCTTTGCTAACTAAAAAGAACTGGTTGCTCATCTGCTTTGACTGGAATTTTAAGCACCTACAATTATTTTCTGTGTCAGAACTGTCTTAGAGGTGGACCTTATCTTAACTTATTATTGTGCTTGTGTTGCCATGGTAAAGGACCATACTGTAGTAAAACTGAATGACTGAAATCTGTAATGGATTTTTGTTTTTCAAAATTGCATATTTTAACCTTGTACATGATGCCCTTTGTGTGAATCACCAAATTACTATGCGTTCTTTAATGCTTTATTTTCCCAACTGAAGTATAGCTAAGAACTACTTTTTAGAGTACCAAAATGAAAATAGTGAGATAATGAAAAAAATTACCTGTCTTTCCTTGGTTTCCGTTTTTCATCTTGTATCGATTTCTAAGAAAATATAAGGTAATTTTAAAAATGCTGAAATGCACATTTTTGCAAAGATACAATTCATCAATATGTTAGGAATGAGAGTTTCATGTTTTTTTGTTTAAAAAAAAAAAGTATACAAAGAACATAGTTTGTTGAACAGCAGAATAAGTGCCTTGGCAAAATCTCTTTGCAGGATCTTTGTGAATATGAATGTCACTGAGAAGGTGATCAGCATTGTTACTCCCAAATTGTAGTTGCCATATTGTGAAAAAAAAGTAAAATTAATTGTGATCAGAACAGAAAAGGAGATACAAAACTTTGAAATATCTATCATTGTTTTAATACAGTTGACAACACTGTCTCACTGAGGCAGATTTCTTTGATGCCATGACAATTTACATGAATACAGGGAACACAGTGGGAGAAGACATAGTCCTGTTCTCGTTGAGGTCAATGCAGTGCTGTCAGAGGCTTTAGTAGAACAAATGGATGAAGCTCCCATTTAAAAAGCAGTGTAATAGGTGGCAAAAGTACCTTTAGGATACAAGGTATTCAGAAATGCAGAAGAGTGATTCATAGGGAATGTGAATAATTTCTATCTCTAATAGATTTCTGTCTTTATAGACAAAAAATATTATGCTGCAGCATCTAAAGCATGACGCTTCAAAAGTAGTATTTTTAAGTGCGCATAGTCTTCATTGTTTGTTGTAAACCAGTGAAAACTTACTAGAATTAATGAACTGTACCACTTTAAAGTCACTGTAAGAACAGCATCAGGAATCCTGATGGATAGACAGATAATTCAATATCCACACAAACGCGCATGACAAATAATTTCAACGTGACAGGCTGATTTAACGAAGTAAACTCAAGAAAAAACTTTTAATGCCTTGTATGAACAATGGGCTATTGTCAAGCTTCATTTATACCTGTGTACCACTGTACTTCATTTGATGTGCAAGGAGGTAAGTGAGAATGGAGGGTATCTAACTAGTATCTGTAACATGATGTGAGAGAAATACCCATTTTTGCAGAGCAGGACCATAAGGCAGAGCAATTTTTTCAAAAAATATACTGATATTGCATGCCTTAACTTTCAGGTAATCAACCTGACAATCATCTCTGAATAGCTGCAGTAAAGTAGAAACGCCTGGGAGAGCTGATTCCCCCTGGCTATCTCAGGTTAGAGCTCACTGACTTGCCTGAGGCAAGAATTTCAGATCTGGCAGGACCCTTTTCCCCATTTAAGGTTCAGTTTATTAGAAGCATACGCTGAACCTTCCCCTCACCAGTGAACTTAGTGTCAGAAACAGAGACTTCTCTTTTTCAATCCTTCTGCAAAATACAACTAACTGGAAGTGATGTTGATTAATATATCGAAAAATGACTGGTAAAAATGGGTTTAAAAATTCCCCAATATTACTGCAGTTTTTGTTTGCACTGATGTGATGGCTGTTTTCTGATAAGGAGTAGGCCACATAGCAAATTTGCTTTCACAAAATACTATGTTTCTGCCTGTAAAATCTCTGCTTTATAAACATTCATTTACTTTAGAATGACTTCTCAGAAATTTGCTAATGCAGACTGCAGTGTCACGCCATTCATTTCAGTCCTTAGTCTCTCCAATCTTGTTTTCCCAAAACAAAGCTTATTCTTACACTCCAGTTTCTTTTTCAGAATTTCATTGTTCCAAAGCTGTGTTATTTCAAAGCCATGATAAAAAAAAATACAGCCATGCTGGTCTTTTCTGGTATGCCAGACACAACTCTCCCTAAAGGCCCTGGTGACACCTTCTGTTGAAAGGAGAAGCAATTGCTACAGTTAGTTTATTAGCTGGGCTCTCACCGGCTGTTAAAATAGGTCACCAAGATACATGCACCTCGAGCAAATGAGTTTAATTGCTTTTTTTGCAGGAACCACCTTCTGAGCTGCTTTTACGTTTTCTCTGTTTCTGCTTACTTTCTTTTCTTTTTCTATATTTAAGGACACTGAAGTCAAGAGTGGAAAGCAGACCTTGGTATCTGAACTTGGACCAACGGCTATATATAGAGATACTCAAATCCATTAGTCTCCTGAGCCGTTTGTATTTGCCAATTCCTTCATAATCACAAACTGACACATTTGGTAAAGGAAGTTACAGCGTGCATACTAATACAGCCTATTTTAATATTTGCTCTCTCTGCAATATCAAGGACTAATTTAGACACTCAAAATAGCTCTCTGAACAAAGCTATTTTTCTCCAATGACTTTACAAAGAATCTAGGGAGACCCGGCACTTAACTTAGGTGTTGAAAGTGCAAACACTGCTTATGCATATAATGAATGTACATACGTTAAGTTACAAATGTAAAAAATGGCCTGACCTAGAGCCCCAATCAAGGCACCTTTGAACCTTAATTGTTTGAAATGTAGTTTTGAACTTGAATTTTATGGCCTGCCTCCTTTCAGCAGGGCCCAGCTTTTATGCCGTATTAGAAAGGAATACAGGAAATCAGGTAGTTAGAAAGAAAGTTTAGTTGGAACTATCCAGCAGTTTGAACCCATAAAAGCTTGCCAAACTTACATGTATTAGAGTGTAGTAGGTGGAATCTTCTGGATTATTTAATGTCTTGGGCTTCCGTGGCCTCCTTGGGGGTCTCTGTTTTGGGTGAGAGTCCTCTACTTTGGATGCAACTGTAAAAAAGCAGACGATGGCAATGCTTACTCCTTCACAGAATAGGTGGCTTTTACAAAACCAAACAGGAGAGAATTTCACCACCGAGAGCAAAAAATCCATTTTGGCACTTTTACTACTTACAGATAATTCAAGAAAGCAACTGCTTTAGACGTTTCCATGACCAGACTGGAAAGGAGAATGGGTTGATTCATTTGAGCTCTGACCACCCCATGGATGCATACCACGTAACGAAGGTCACACTAGAAGAGCCCAGCAGTCTGCCTGGCCCTGGCTTCTCCTCCTGAGAACGGCTAATGCTGGACATTCAGAGAAGTGCTCTGAAGGGTAATGGCTATTGGAAGGCTACTTTCTCATAGTGTGGACCTGGAGGGGGGTGAGGATATTTTTTCAGACTCTCAAGTCAACCATTAACACACTGAACGTGGGAACTAGCGTTTCGTTCTCTTTTTCTCTCTTATTGGGAGCCTGGTCCTCTGCACCATCATGGGGTAGATTTTTCCCCAAGGTCTCCTGCTGAGGTGGTTCTGTTTCAAGCAAAATTATGTACAATTGGGCAAGACAGCATGACAGTGTCCATAGGGTCCAGAGCAATCTAGTCTAATGCACTCAACTTCTAGCCTCTACTCCAATGAAAACTTTCTCCAAACAGGTGAAAATGAATAAACTAAAGAGCAACCACAAAATTAGTCCCGACTTTAGGATGCAGGCACAGAGGTACCCTTTGTGAATCATCACATTTTTACGTGCAAAGGCCAAACATCCACGTACCTCATTCTTTGAGACCATGGAAAGATCTCTGAGGGGCTAAGGGACCACGAATGTACAGAGTGGTGAGCGTGGTCACTTGACATTCAGCTTCAGCTATGGGAAAAGTTAACGGGGCTGTGGCAATTCCTTCATGATGGAAGAAGAGGGAGTTGCAGGGCAACGATAGAGATGGGTCACAAGGGACACGTACAGGGTGATGAAGGAAATCACAGCACAATCACAAATCTAGGCATGGTGAGCTGTGCATCACAGTACACTTTTATAATTCAATGAGGTTTTAGATTGTCCTTGTCACATCATAGAAGCATCTGGATGCTTCCCGTGAAGCAACTTTGATGCTGTAACCTAATGCTAAATACACGTGATTGAGTCTCAGAGAGAAGACTGCATTTTGTTCTGTAATGACAACCAGAAACTCTTCTACACTATAAAAATAAAAACTCTCCCATGTACATCAGACTTCTTTTTAATTAAGGAGGTAGCACAATCATTTAAAATGAGAAACAATCAGTAATACATCAGTGTTGACTCCTGCAAAATTAGCTGTGTAAGTTTTTTGTTATGTGTGATAGATAATGGCTTGTAAAGGTCATGGATATACAGAGGAGCCAGAATGAATAATGTTAATTTAAACTGTAGTTAGATAATGATTACATTTATTGTTTTAGTTTCTTATCTCAAATGCAGACTGTTTCTCATGTAATGAATGAACAAGTATCTTTTAACATTTTGCACTTAAGAGAACAATAGTGTTTTTTTAAAGCCAGGGTACAGATAATTCACGTTAAACAATGAATTTAGATGCAATAAATTCATTTCGTCAACGTGTATTAAATATAAATTACATTCTTTCATTTGAAAAGGTATAACGGGCCTGACTGTGCTCTTATGCGGGCTGTCGTTACCCTGCTGCATTTCAAATGTGCCACCTGGAGTTATCTGGGTTTCCATTTGTGACAGAGGAGAGGCAAGCCTTTCTGATTTTATTTTTAAACACAACAGGTGCCTAAATTGGAAACATTGTTTTAAAATGGTAGCGATTCAGTGATTCAGTGTAATTAAATAGATACACTAACTCCTTGCATGTAGGACATTTTCAAAAATTGTGTCAAAGATCACAACTGCATGAAAATCTGGAAAAAGAAAATGAAACTAAATTGAGGGTGCCAAGGAAAAGGCTCTCATAATACCTAGAGATCTTTTATTGTCCCTTATGAATTCACCGTGATGTATGCTGTTATGTTATTTAATTCATCACTGTCTAGCACATAAAGCATTCTCATAGTCTAAATTTCAGTTATTCCAACAAATTAGCTGTATATTTCTTGCATAGGTGCTCTGCAACGAGACTCCTCTTACATTCAAAAAAATCATTTTGACAATGACAAGGGTTTCAGCTGCCTTTTAGCTGGCCTCATGCCTTTTATATATGTATGAGCTATGCAGAAGAACTGAGGGGACAGAAATACTATGTGCGGGCAGCCAGCCTTCTAAGCTTGGGCTTGCCATTTCTTTTTAAAATGGCACAGAGGGCTGAAAATGGAATTCTGGATTTCTTCTTCAAATTGCCCAGTATGTAACTAGTAGTTTTACACCACTGATGGATTTAGCTTTCTTTATTTCACCAGAAACTGAGCTTGTGATTTCCTTCTGCTCTTGAATTTGTGTGCTTATTGTTACTGAAATACCACTGATGCAGTAGATATTTGTAGTGTTGGATATCCCACTGCACAAAGAAAGATTCCCTTCTTTATTAGTTGCTGATACTTCCACAAGTCATTTACTTAGTAGGTTTAAAGGTGGAAAGCAAATTTGATACCTGAGCCTGATAAATGGTGAGCGTGATGTGCTTGTTTTCCAGACGGCCCATACGTTTCTGCTGCAGGCAATGAAGCAGAAAGCGAGAGTAAAATCATTCACCTAGTAATAGGTCAATTATGTTGTTTCTATAGTCCATTACAAAGACGTTTTCTTTTGAAGCCCAGTCTCTCCATAGTAAGTTATCTTATAGCCTATTTTTGCTTAAGGAAGGACTGTAGGAAGACAGTGCTTTATATTTAAAAGGAGAAGTGATGCTTTTTCTCTAAGAAACATTTAAATATGTACGTTACAATAATGATTTAAAAAAAAACCACTCACAACAGAAGCTGTCAAAGCACTTCTGAAATGTTGGGTTGGCGCTATTATCCCTACCCCACTAGCAGGGTAAAGGAGATGCACAAAGCAAGACACACTGAGACTTGCTTAAGGTTACGGCACAGTTAGTCATTAACACAGCCAAGGAGCTGGACCACAGCATCCCGCTGAGGCTCCCAGCTCCGCCATCAGCCCATGCCCTTCAGTTATATCTGGCTGAACAGGTGCTGTTGGCACTGTACACTCACCTGCCTAAGAAGCAACATAGAGAAGATGAGAAGAACTTAAAAACAAGAATGTTTGATACTATACAGACACACTTTTTTTTTACAGAAAGTTTTACAAATAGGAAGAGGGACTGAACAAGTTAAAAGGGAGAAAGATTTTGCTCAAACTGCAAGCGCACACAGTCAATACAAAGAGGCTTTGCTCTTGTGACCTAGGTGCTTTTCGTTTGAGCCTTACTAACAGTGTATGTCAACCATACTGCAATCCGTGCCCAGGAGGTTACATCTCTCTGCTGCCCAAACCTGAAGCATCCTGTCAAAACGTACATTTGAGTAAGTAATGATCGAAAGTTTAATATAAGTGAGCTCGTTTTCTAAGAGAATGAACTAATTACAGGGTCAGCTAAGGCATGTGAACAGTGCGGCTGCGAGGTAACATCAAAGAAGGTTTTAACATGTCTAAGGAAAATGGTATCATGTAATAAAAATTGAAGTAGGGTCTATCTAAACCTTAGGCCTAAGCTAGCTTTGAGCTAGTATTGCTGCTGCAGCTTGCTACTCAGTGTAGTCTTCCCAGCTAAGAATGCACCCAAATTGCTAAGCACATCCTGTAGCCTGGCTTAAAAGCCTTGCTGCTACAGCTGCCTTGCTCGGAGGATTGAGTGAGTTACTCCTTCTTCCCCGTTAGGGCTATCAAATGTAGGCCTCACATTCCTACACCATGCAATGCCACTTGGGGCTGCACAGTCCCTCCTTTCAGGCTGGGACAGTCCACTCTCATTACATCCCTATCAGTATCTCAGCTAGCTAAGTTCACCACCTGAAACTTTCCTACATAAGTTGCACACACATTTGGACTGTACAGTGTTTAATTACAAGTTATTACTACTTTCTTACTCAGTCCTCACTGAAAGCTCCAAACACATTAAAAAAAGGAATGAAAAACAAATGGGAAAAGGGAAAATGAATTTTAGGACTGACTCTAAATTTAGAGTTAATGTGTGTGTCCGCTGAGCGCCATCAGATAAACTCTAAAGAAACCGTGGAGAGCTTGTGCTCATTTTTTTGAGACAGTCAAGTATGAGCAAGGAATGCTTGAATAAAGATGAGTTAGTATCAACAGCCCTTTAGGTCGAACTGTGTCTGCACATTCTGACATACAGTGATAAACTGGGAAGACAACAATCTAGCACAATCAACATTCATGGCTACTACTGTAAATTAATCTATGACTTACAGAAGATTTTATACTGAAGACTAGAGAAAGATTGTGGTTACATCTGTGATAAGCACCTAAGTGATGAAAGGTCTGTATTTATTAGACCATCTGGAGAAACAGATAAACCTATCTTCAGGTCAGTTAAATGAAACGTTACTTGTTTGATTCAGCCATGTCTCACATGTTATGGGGACAGGAAGTATAAGGCCAGTCTCAGAACAAAGCAGGAAGAAAAACAACAGGAAGACCAATGATTGTAATGCATTTGCTTGGAACTGATCAGAAAAATGAAATATAGTAACTGGAAATCCAGGACTTGATAATGACGAGTTAACAGCTACTTTTGCTTACAAAATTTATATGCACACCTTTTTACTATGCTGATTGTACATAGTGTGAGGATGTAATTAGTCAAGTCCTGGATGATTACCAAAGTGGGATGTGGAAATTACTGCTGATGGGTGTAAGCATTTAGCAATCTGTAAAGACCAGAGGGATTATTCTGGTACAGATCTAGAACCAGGAACTGTGAGACTGAGAACTTTCCAGTTGCATCCAGGAGGAGTTGACAATGTTCAGTCTCTCATGTCTGTCTAGGTACTGCCAGCCCCACTGAGTGAAGCCCACTGCAGTTTCAGTCTCTGGT